GCTGATCGCCAGCTCAGTGACATATGCATTGAAAGCACAGAGAATAAATTAATATAAGGGATATGTGAAGGAGAGACAACTTCACTTTACCTTCGGTCTTCATTTTACACTCAGATGTAGGGTGTATGAGGTGGGCCTATTGCATACATGCTGAAAATGTATAAAATCATTTCCCTGTTTTTCAGTTTGGTCCCCAATGCACGTATTTCTCACATAGTAATATATTCATAAGAGTCATTCTTTGCCTCCAAAGATGTAATCATTGTAATGAGGGATTACATTTGTTCCCTAACATCAGCTTTATTAGGGATTTCTACATTCCAATCCAAACCTTATTCTGAAAATCTGCTCATACCTCTACTCCAAACCAAAAAAAAAAAAAAAAAAAAAATCAATCTGATACACTTTTCCCTCTTGACCTGGACTCAATTTCTCAAAATGATGCTCCCCAAAACCACTAGGAATTAATGCTGTCAGTGAAAATATAATTACTTTCCTGAGACAAATTATACTCTTACGTAGGCACCTGTAAAGAGAACTAAGAATTTCACACTGTTTTACTTTGCAAAAACAAAGCTACAAACTGAACTCTAAATATAATTAATATATTGAGTGCTACCTTTATGTTTAGCTCTGGGCTACTTACTACCAGAAGTAAACTAAAAGTTATATAACAAGGTCCTTGACCTCAACATACATAAAACTTTCCATATTGTTTTGTTTTCTTTTTTGTCATAGGGTGCATGAGCTCAGCAGAGAGAGAGAGAGACAAAAAGAGGAGAAGTGAGAAACCTCCTAGAGGGATGGTTGAACTGTGATCTCTTCTCCATTCTTTTCTCAGGACTGTGGGCATGCATGCTGCATGAATTTCAAGCAGCCAGGTCCAGAACTTGAACCACGGTGGGCCATGTTGGAGTTGAGCACCATAACTACTATGCCACTTGCTGGCACCCATATCATTGTTTTAAGTAGTGTATTGAGGGTTCCCTAATTTGGAATCATCGACTTTTTTAAATGTCAAGGTGGATTATTCATGCATCTAACCTTATATGAAAGATTTTACATACTAACGTCTTGTCAGAGGATAGTCTGGTCAAAGAAAGAAAAAAAAATATTTAATGCCATATTTTGTAATTTTATTTTGGGGTGTTGATAGACCTGTGTTTTCCACACTGAGATGTCACTGTCATTCGGTGTAGGCAGGAGTTAAGGTCCTCTTCCTTTTCATCTGGTTGAGGCACTGAACTCCCACATGGCCGACACAGTTTGAGTCCCAGACCTTGTAGCTTGTTTTCTCACTTTTCCTCTCTCTCTCTCTCTCTAGTCAGATTTAAAAATAATAAATAAAGTTTAATAAATATTTCTTTTATAAAAATGATTCCCCCATGGATTGTTGATTGCAGGTTCTACCATTAACGATTTTATAGCAAAATTCCCTTCTATTCAACACACTTCTGTTTATTTTCTCTTATAATTTTCTTTTCTAATTTCTCCATAAGCTTATTTGATCTAGGGATACCTGGTAACTATGCTCTTAATTATGTCTGCAGGTGATTAGAAAGCTACAATCTGAACTAGATGGATCTGAAATAGTGCTGCTGACTGATGGAGAAGACAAGACTGTAAGCAGCTGTGTTAATGAAGTAAAATTAAGCGGAGCCATTGTTCATGTTATTGCTTTGGGACCATCTGCTGACAGTGCAGTAGATGAGTTGAGGACTTTAACAGGTAAACTATGAAAATTATATTCCAGTTTATTTTCATAGCAATCCATAAATACAGAGTTGTCAAACTCAACACCTTCTCTCAGTTCCTGCTCTGCAGGTCCTGTGGCAGGAATTGGGGCCCAGAATCAAACAGGACCCATTCTCTATTCTCATGGCACTCAGGGTCCAGCTGGCTGCAGAGACAAACAAAAGTTCTAATCAAATAACATATCAGATAACCTTTCCTTCATGAGAGTCAGAACATAGAACACAGCTCTGTGTGAGCAAAGAAGTCACTAATGCCCCCAGGATTGCATCAGGTTAGAGAAACAGGACACGAAAGACTAGGTGACTTCAGAGGTCCTTGAACAGGGTGTTGAATTTCTCTGGGGAGAAAAAGCACTGAGAGATGATTCACAGGCAAAAGCATCCTGCTGGGATGATGATGATGCAAGGCATGTAGAGGGAAGAGAGAGAAATCTGTGAGGTCCAGAGCATAAGGTTGTAGAGAAGTGATAAAGGTTCAGACTGAAAAGATCTAAGCAACAACAAAATTTCTAGATTAAACACTGCGTATGGCAGCATACTTTAAATAGACATAGGATGGCAATGGTTTGAAAGCTTCCAATGTTTTCTTAAGCACAATAGAGGATACATAATTTATGAGTATCAATTATTATGTTGAATTGGTTTTCAATATTGTCAGATATCTACTTGCTCTTTAATGCTTAGTTGTACACACTTTCATCATTTCAAAATGCCTTCATGGCTATTATAAAATTTGCTTTGATTCTTAGTATTCTACCTAAAAGTAGTACTTATTTGGATTTGTTTCTATTACAATTTTTCTGTCACCTTATTTTCAATCATTGCCAAAATTCTTAAATAAAGCAGCTCTTCAATCTGTCTAATTTTCTTATTCTAATCAATTCTGGCTGGAAAATCTAAAAACCATTTTTGTTAGAACTGTTTCTTAAATAAATGTGAATCATTTCCTTAGTATTGTGTAGGCTTTAAGCTTTAATACATGAAATTGTGCATCTTTCATATTCTACGCACTTCAGTAAGCTAGTACTTCAATATTAAAGTATTAAGGTAGTTTACACTTCCTAGTTATGAGACCTTCTAATTAGCATTTCAGAGCTGATCTTTACATCTACATTCTATTGGTCTATTTTTATAAAACATATTGGAACTGTGCTTTTGCTTAAACCGTTACCTTACTAGTCATTAAAACCTGATAACTACTTATGCCTAGATAGCAACCTAGTTAATATATTTACATTTTAGGAGGAAAGTATTATTATGCTTCAGATGATGCTCAGAACAATGGCCTCATTGATGCTTTTGGAGACCTTACATCAGGAAATGCGGATGTCTCCCAGAAGTCACTGCAGGTCAGACTTCCTACTTGGCTTTTCACATTTGCATTTACCATAACAACAACAAAAGAACTGGTGGCTTAAGGTTTGAGTTTTATACTTTTCTCAAAGTAAACCTTTCATTAAAATCAAATACCAGTCTGAAATAGAAATTATTGTTTAGATATAACCAACTAGGTGGTTATCAGTGGTGAAATAGTAGGAACACTATTTCTTTTCTTATTCCCATAGTGTTTGGTTAAGGGATAATACCAAAGCTTAATAATGTCAACATTCCACCAATAATAGACATTGTTCAATAATACAGCATCCATTTTTCTATGAATGGTTAACAAAAAAAAAAAAAAACAAAAAACACCTCACTTCTGAGCTTTCCTTATCCTATAATTTCACAGTTTCTGTCAACCGTTACCAATCAGTTCTCAGATAACAAACCTAAGGTGGTATGCCATAAATAAGCTGTTCTCAGGCCAGGAATTAACTATCTTAAAAAGAAAAAAAATACTCTCTTCCTCAGTCATTAATTTTTTAAATATATTCAAACAGCTTGAAAGTAAAGGACTAACTCTGGATAGTAACAACTGGATGAACGGCACTGTAATAATTGATAGCACGGTGGGAAAAGACACATTCTTTCTCATCACATGGAAGAGCCAGAAACCCAGTATTTTCCTCTGGGATCCCAGTGGAAGAGAGGCAGGAAGTTTCACAGTGGAACTAAGCACCAAAATGGCCTATCTCACTATTCCAGGAACTGCAAAGGTAAGCAATCAGCTTTTACACTTCTCTGAAATTTTTAAGAAGCTGAAAATAAATTACTAACTGTCACTAGTATCAATATTTTATCGTCTTTAAAATTATATGTACTGGGACTAACAGCAGAATGGCTATGTCGCTGAACTCCGATGTAATCGACTGCAGTTCGAGTCCTGGACCCAGTGGCTTAAACTCATGCCAGGCGCCTGTGCATGCGTGCTCAAGATCCCGAGAGGAGAATGGAGGAGAAGGGATTGTGGTGTGGCCATCCCCCCTGGGGGGGGGGGATTTCTCACTTTCTGTCTCTCTGTCTCTGTCTTTCCAGTG